ATATCCTGGCAATGTGATAAATATCCCTCCCTTCTATACTGTTTCAGAGAAACCAGTAGAGATGTGCATTTAAAGGAATGTTTTTCTATCAATAAAGCATTACAAATTTATGTCAATCAAAAAGGCATTTAAAGTACTGAAAACACTAATAAGGTTGCAAATAAGGAATATTAGCTACTTTCAACTTTACTCAAAAGAGAAAAAATTGGTTTCGTGGAAAGAAGTAACTTATGCTAATGAAAATTTCTCAACTAGAAGTTATCTATCCTAAAGGTATCTATTAGTTCAGAGGAAAATGTTGTTCTGCATTTTTAAAGGAAATTATTTTCCTAACCTATCCACACATACAACACACACACACACACACACACACACACACAAACTAAACACAAAAAATTATATGATCCCTGGCCGGTGTGGCTCAGTGGTCGAGTGTCAATCCATGAACCAAGAGGTCCCTGGTTCGATTCCCGGTCAGGGCACATGCCTGGTTTCAGGCTCCACCCCAGTGGGGGGCACGCAGGAGGCAGCAGATCGATGTCTCAATGTTACTATCTCTCTATCCCTCTCCCTTCTCTCTCTCGAAAATCAATAAAAACATTTTTTTAAAAAATTATAAGAAATACTAAAATTTTAAAAAATCACTGAAATATATTTCTCTTTCTGCGTAACCTTGAGCCTCAACTTGTTTGGGGCTGAGATTTTTAAATAAAAAATAAAATCATTGGAATAGAACAGTGACTCTAAATGGGAAGAACACACTCCCCTGGGGTGTGAAATATGGCTGGGTGAAGGGTTGTAGATGATAATCACCTGGGGAGCTTTATCTTCAATTAGAGATTCTGAAAAATCTCTACCCATCCTGCTGCTAAGCATCCATACCTTGGTGAGTGAGTGTTACTTCTGGGAGATTTATTTCTCAGGTGGGAAGGGGGTGGTGAACAGAGTTTTTAGATTAGATGACCTCTTATATTTGTTCTAGCTCTAACAGTCTATGAAAAATGCTTTCAGAAGAAAATTAATTTCTATTCATGAGCTGAAATTCCCTCAGCAGTCTTTACAAATCAATTCAGAAAGCAAGCAGCCATGCTAGTCTTGAAAGTAAATCACTATGCAAGTGGAATCAGATAGCAGGAGGGAGTACAATTACTTACTCTAAAATGTATCTGAAATTTAAATCTATTTCTTATTGACATACAACAATTCCATCAATAAATTTCAAACCTATGTATTTTCTGCAAATGCACATTTAACTTCCTATTTACATTTTAAAAGCATCATTAAACATGGTTTTGAGTATCAGAAACATTTTGTCCCTGAGAAACTGCATTAACTTATTCCTTTGCTGCCGAGTTCCCAGTGTTGCCATGACTAAGTATGAAGGGAATCTATGCTGTAATAGTGCTTCATCTTTGCTATTTACAAAATAAAATATGATATGCAAACAAATAATGAATAATGAAAAAAAGCTGACTTTTCAAAAGTTTCCTTAGTAATTGCTTTTTCTTTCCAGCATAGTTGACTGCATATGTACATACTGTGTACACACACACGCACACACACACAGATACAGTGGTGTGCCAATAAAAATGTAATGGCTCTCCAGGGCCAAAAAAATCTGGCCTGTAGAGTCAGCCAATTTCCACATCTTAAATCCTGCATGGTGGATTTCAAGCTACCAACATGAGGTCAATAAACTCGTGGTTGGCTCTCAGGAGCTGTTGGCATAGGCTCCAGGGCTGTCCTATGCGTCTGCATTATGCACACAAATATATCATCCGTAAATATCTCATAATAGATATTATATATATATATATGATTTCTCAAATAAGCAATGAATATTTTCCCTTAAAATTATGAAGTGAAAGATTGAATCCACAATTATTTTTACTGTAAACTGGTTAAGCCAGCAAAATTTAGAAAAAATCCCATATAATTATATAATTATAATTTAAGGCAAGTGAATAAGGTAGATAATTTATGATTGTTATAAGTAGTTGAAATGGTTAAAATGTGCTTTAGCCTTCTCACATGTACAGAGAGCCCAAGTGCCATAGTTCAGAGTTAATCGTTAACACATTATAAACCAGAAAAATGCAGGAATATACATCGCCCCAAATGAGTAAATCCAATAACTACCTGAAAGCAGCAGAGCTCTATCTGAAGCGTGACCAAATGTCAATAGCAACACTTCACATACTTGATTCTTGGCTCCCTTGTCTTCATGGTGATTAATAGGGCGAGCAAATATTTACTGGCATAAGTACATTCTGAATTTCATGCTGTATTAAAGCTATGATGCTGTCTTGGATTCTGTCTTTGGAAGAGCACCAAGAAACAAGCTGAGGGACAACCTGAGCTGCAATCTTCAAATTAATAAATATTCATCAAGTTACTATTATGCGCGAGGCACAGCACTGTGGTGCTGCATGGTGCACAAAGATGAATGCACATGGTCTTTCTTCTCAATGAATTTATAATCACTAAGGGGTAATACGACAATATTTGACATGCAGGAACTAGTAATACCCATAAGAAAGGAATATCCAATTCTTTGGGATGTTATGAAAAGTCTTTTGGGACAGATACGAAAAATATTTGGCGATAAGGTGGTATTTAATAAGAAAACACTTAGGAGTGGGCAGCATTCCTAAAGGTGGGGAATCTGGTAATATGAGAACAGAAGACCCTAGAAGGGGTGCCATGTGAAAACCCTGGGGCATATCACAGAGGGCCACCAATGTCAGCACGAGGTTACTAGGCTTGAACTGTAAGTGATGCAAAGCCTTGGAGAGAACTGACCAGTGGCCTTCGCGTTGAAATCTATCACTTCCCCCCCCCACAGATTACATGCAGGCTGATTTCTTATATCTTCATCAGCCTGCCATTGTCATTCTGCCTTTTTCTTCATCAATGAGTTAAAAGGAACTTCTACACTTTGTTTTTGTAAAGGAACTATGGTTTTAATGATTAGAAAATTATGCTGTGATTATATACACTTGGTTCCTTTACCAAAGATTTAAAGCTTACTTCATATGGCAGATCACTCATGCCATCCCCTTAATGATTAATTGATCTCGTTTGTACAATCCTCAGTCCCCTTTGCCTTCCCTGAGCTGTATGGTTTACATAAAAGGAATCATGCACAGGAGAAGATTTTTGTAGAAGTGTTGTGAAAGTATTAAAAAAAGAATTATGGATTTTACATCATCAAAGATTAGCGGTTGTGGAGGCCTGGTTAGGGCAGAGGGGAAACGGAAGAGAAAATAGCAGAAGATGCGGTGGCAAGATTCTGAGCACTTCAGAAAAAGGAAGATGAATTAATGATGACTTTAACTAAAGACGAATAGAAGAGATTCTGCTAAAATGTGCCCAGTTCCAGCCTGAGGTGTGAGGTCATCCTTCACTGGACCCCACTATTTCACTTTTTAATGATTATTGGAAAATATGTTCTGGCCATTATGGGAATTCTGAAGACAAGTAGTCTTTCTGCCCTAGCAGGTGGCATCTTAAGGGTACTGGATTCAGTCTTTGGGTTCTTTAATTAGCAGTAGACAGAACATGCAGGTAAGTTAAAAGCAACAAGCTTGTAGCAATCTGGATGCTAGAAGAAAGAATAGGGTGGGCAGAGTACCCTAATGATTCCCTTAACCCTCTTTAAGAGAAGGAAAGATGCAGAATAGATGGACATTTCTTCCAGTCTAGTGGTGAGAAAAACACATCATAACTGAAATGCATCTGTTTAGGCAGCATAGGTTAAGGGTGCAAACTAGTTGTGCATTATAGTACAAGGGTGACACATTTATTAATTCATATTACATCTTTTTTTCCTGAAACGATAGAAAATTCCTGAGAAAAAATTGTTCATCAAAGGTAGAAAACCAAATCTATTTTTCTTTAAACTAATCATTTGCAGCCTACACTTTTCCCAGTATGAGCTGAGTGTAAACCATTCTATTTTCTGTTTTTATTGATATTTTGGGGGGGGGGGAGAGAAACACTGATGTGAGAAACATCCATCTGCTGCGTCCTGCACACCCCCTGCTGGGGATGGAGCCTGCAGCCAGGGCATGTGCCCTGACCGGGAATCAAACCAGTGGCTTCTTGGTGCACAGGAAGGCGCTCAGCCAACTGAGCCACACCGGCCAGGGCAACCACTACATTTTCTTAGAGCTCTTTCTATACTGTCTTTATATTCAGAACATAGATCTTAGAAAAAGTATATTAGCATTAATAAATGTAAGTAAATTATCTCAAGTAATCCTAAAGTACATTACATAGTAAAATATGTGTATGTACAAATGTATGTTAGATTCTGGAGATCACAAAGTAAAAGATTTTCCACGCTGACTTTAACTGGAACCCATCCTGGCTGATGCTTCAACTGCTGTGACACCAGCCCCGTGCAGGGTTCAAACCCTGGAGTGCTGAGGAAAGGGGTTTGGCTTCCTGACCTCTACGTCGACTTGGAGGTGAGCGGGTGTCTGGCTCTGAATCCGGATGAGTAGCAGTTACCTTTTAAGCAGCCCACGTTAACATTTCTTCAAGATTCATTATTACCTTAAAACAAATTCTAAAATAACTCCTGTGCTAGGTCTTCATAATCTGAATAGTTGGAATGAACGCCACACTGAACTTCAAACTACTACTTTCCATCAATTTTTCAACTGGTATTTCATCTTTTTTCTAGGCTCAACTCTTGAATTTGTAAAACCAAACTTTCCTAAAACCCAGCATTAAAAAAATTATTACATTTAGTCCCAAACTGTAATTCATTTTTGGCTTTTCATTACTAAACCTAAATTTGTGTGTTTTCATTTTGTTTTATTTTACCTCTTCTAGCTAAAAAAAGGGGGTGGGGGGTAAAAATAAACCTGTTAGAGGAGAACAGTCGTGTAATATTTGGTCATATGCTCTGTGGGCAAAGTTATCGGCCACAATTCCTGCGCAAGAGAGATGCACGAGTCCAGCTTTCTCGGTCATTCACTGAGAGTGAGTACCTGAAGGAGAAGGCTGGCCTTTTACCACACCGTTTTTAGTCTTTTCTTCTGAATTCATTACTTCCTTGTAGATAAGTTCTGTAAGAAACAATGATCAGTGTTATAAACAATAATTTCTCCTTAGTCTAGAGGAAAAGTTCCTTAGTTAATGACAAACAACATTTTGATGGGATTGAGTAAATTAGAAAACAATTGGGAGTCCTTTACCTCTCCCCTGCTACATTTTCTAGCAATAGCGCCGAGCCTGGCAAAAGCAGGTGCTCAGTAAAGCATTTGGCCCAGTGAATGTACGAGGAATACACATTTTACTTGTTTTCTCAATTCTTTTGGGGATTTCTAATGCACTCCAACTTATCTCTTAAGGGTTTTAATGGCTCCATTTTGAATATACATTTTTCTTTCCTACTTTCTTCCTAAGGGGTGTCATGCTCTTCTTGTCAGTAAATCACTGTATTTATATATAAATCACATTCTCATGACTTCAAACTATTAATTTCCATCCATTTTTCAACTGGCACTTCATCTTTTTTCCAGATTCAACTCTTGGATTTGTAAAACCAAGCTTGCCTAAAACCCAACATTCAAAAACCATTCCATTTGTTCCCAAACTGGCATCTATTTTTGGCTTTTCGTTACTAGAGTTAAACGTGTGTCTTTGCATTTTGTTTTACTTTGCCCCTTCTAGCTAAATGTAATTCAGCACTTCTCAGGCTCGCTTTAAAATGCTTACGGTTGGTTCACAGAGCCATCACCATGTGCGGGCATCTCACCAGTTTCTCTCATTCTGGTCCATGGCCGTCTTCCTCAAGTGGTATTTATATCCTATCGCTCACCTACTCAACGCAAACCCCTAAGAGTGCCTTCTGGCCCTCACTCAGGGCAAATCAAGTCTTTTCCATCTATCATTTAATATCTTTTTTTACTCAATCCACTGTTTGTATCTGCTCATTTTCCATATTCTTTAACATGACCCCTTGCCCACCGGAATCTCTTAATTCTCTTTGTAACACTGCTGTGAATCTCTACCCTTTGTTTTCCTCTCATATCTCCATTCCAGTATTTTCCTGTTTTTCCCCTTTTCTCAGTTTATAATTATTAATATATTCAATGTAGCTCAAACAGTTCTTCCATTCAGATCTTCCTCTTATGTTCCTCCTCACTTTGACCTAATCATTTAATCTGCGTGTGGTTCTCTCATATTTATTCTACTATGTAATTAGATATATTGGTTTAACTATTCTTTATAGTTTCTGCCTCAGTATAATCTCAATCAAGCAGTATGTGTTTGGGGGGAAAAATGAATTAATGTATTCATTAATGTATTCTTCTTACTTTAAAGGTGAAATAAGCAACTTAAATACATATATTTTCTTTTTAAATTCTTAAGTGCTATACATCAATGAATTCATATATTAACTATCTTTTATTTTCTAATGTCTAAATAATCTCAGACATAATTTTAACCATTTTATGTGATAATTGTATGTACAAACATGAAATGTTTAATTGTGAAATTTTAAATTAAAATCTGCCCTCCACCATGACAAATACTTTAATAATTAGTATTATTTTTTAAAAGTGTCAGTGATTCTTTTCATTCTTGAGTAAATGCAATATTAGTAGTAGTATGAAAAGACAGATTAAGTTTTAGGAGCTCTGAAAATGGTATCAGAGGCTAGCAATTAGAAATCATCTCTTACTGAGTCTTTTTTTTTTTAAAGAGAAAGCCTTGAGAATACTCTCTGGGTTTCAATAAGTAAAATGTATATTTATTTAAGCAGTAGAGTCACCTTTCCATTCTTCAATGGTGTGTTCTCTTTCATCCAACTGCTTGTCATATATCTGAGGTGGAGGCTGTAAGATAAAAGCAAACAATAAACTTTGTGGAATAACCTAAACATTACTGAAGTCTTACAATGCATGAGATACTTTGCTATTTATTGATTTTGGTGGTGATCAGAATCTCATATAAAATCAGGAGTAGTTACAGTGGTGCAGAAGTTAAAACTTCCCACAAATTTATGGAGGATTCATTTATATGCCAATAGTTGCTCTGACCAAATAAGGCAACATAATCCAGATCTTGCGAGCCCAGACCACCAAACATTCTGATTCAGAACCCAAGTCCGAGAAACTAATAGCCAGTCTAAAAAGCAAGCAAGACACTTGATTACAAGAACCCAGAAGCTGCTATGTCATCCATTTGTTTGCCCTACAAAAGAACCCTATGAAAGCTATCCCAAACAAGATTTTATTCCATTTTTAGACCCTCCTGAAGAAGAGTCATTAATCTCTCTCAGTAGACCATAGTACTAGTCTCCAGTATAAAGGGATATTAAGATCTAATCAACCTTTTCTTTCTCATGAAGCATAATACAACACCTTTATGTGTAACTGTGTGCCCTGTATTTAAATGACTTCAAGTATTTTCCCCCCTCAGGCAGAAGAAGCCACCAGTTGTCTATAGAGCTGGGTCACCTTGAGCCCCTGAGTGGCCTCGGTTAGTCCTTTCTGGGAGAAATGATGCGACAGGGCCTTCAGCCTCACTTATGGAATCAGCATTGCTCTTGCTATGAGAAGTTCAAAGATGGAAAAGAAGAGATTTTCATAGATTTAGGCGCCTCCCAGGAAGAAGGATCTCGGATAGATTCCCTGACCTCTTCTTCCCGATGGTTGGACCCAAGATCTATCATGGTGACCTAGGGTAATTCCAACTCAGACCAAGCACGGAAAGAAAAAATCTCCATGTAGTAAAGAGAGAAAGGCCTAAGGAGTTATACCAGCTCACAATGGACTGAGTGCCGGGGGGAATGAGCTACAAACTGTCGGGTGCCATGAGACAGGGGACTCCATAATTCATCCTGTCCAACACTCCTAAGGCAACAGTTTCTTTAGCAAGAAACTGAAAGTTACTCAATAAAGTGACTCAGGCTTATTAGGACACACATCTCTCCAAAATGGATATTGTAGGAAGGTTCTGGATGAGATTTTCAGAGACAGCTTCTGGCTTCTGTGAGAGGTTTCCTGACCCATGTGCAGCACCCAGATGCCACAGTGGCCTTTACTGCATCCAGAATCTCTGGTAGCCTGAACTGTGACAGCATCTAGCCGTGGCACACTGGGACAGCCTCATTCTACAAAAGGAGCTGGCTATGAAAATAGAAGACTTTGGCCAGCTGTTTGGGGGCAGCCTAATTATTGAGAAATAAGTACTGATGAGGCCAGACATTTGTTTAACAACAGTGATTGCTACTGGGCTAGAAGGCTTTAAACCAGCTACTATGGTTCAGACGTTGTCAACTGAGACTCGACCTTCCCCTACCCCACAACACTACTGAGAACACAGAATCACAAACTCTACAAAGGTAAGGGAACTGGGATAATCAGGCACTGCCCTGGGGACCTGACTAAGGCTGGACCTTCCCCCCCAAATTATAAAGGACTCCCAATGATTTAAGGAGTAAAACAAAAGTCATTTTTGAAAATCTGTGAAACTGTCGAGTAAGCTAAAGCAAAGCCAAACTCAGGTCATAGAAAGACACTTTGCTGAGTGGCAAGTTCCCTGCCTCCCCCTTCCTGAGCCCCGTGTGCAATGCTGTGGCAAGGTCCCGTCTGAGTGGCCCCCGTCCAGGCCCCCCGCCGGACGGGATGTGCACAAGCTTTCAGAGGTGCCCGGAACTCTGTGCATTGCTATCACCAGTTTCTCCTTGTAACAATAAGACCAGCTCAGGATCCTGTGGATTTTTCCATTCAAGTTTCAAAACTGAACACAGCTCAAGAGTACAGTTCCTGCCAAAGTTCATGAATGCCATTTTCTTTTTGCAACAAAACTATTTTGAGAGGAGTTTTCCTTGGAGCCTCAGCATCCAGCTGTTGCTGATGTATAAAGTACAAAGCACATACATTCCAACCACAAACAAACCACAAGAAAGCAAGCAAAGTACCGAGTCCAAGATTTTTCCTTTCAATAAACCAAGAGGGTTGCTTTAAAAAACACTTGCGTTATAGTTATGGCTGAAAGGGCTCCATGTTCAGGGTTTTTTGTTTTTCTTTCTTTTTTTTGTTTTTAAGAGGGGATGCAATTACCTGTAGTGGAACGGTACATTCACATAAAGGTGTGTTTTCAAAACAATGTAAATGATTAATTGACCAGTAAACCAAAGAGAGTAATGTCATATTCAAACACATACACATGTGCCCAGTCAGCAGTCGTTAGCACGTCATGGCCCATTACACGCCCTGCCTCCGTCTGCAAAGGGAAGCTAGTCTTCATCGCTCACTTGGTCCCCTCCCCCACCTTATTAAAGAGGAATGTTGTTGGCTAGAGATGTACAGACCTGAGACTATCTGCAAGCGGTGTTTGCTGAAATCACGATGGTGGATGAGGTCACCATGGAGGGTATTCAGGTAGAAAGAGCAAAAAGCCAGAGGTCCCTGTCAGACACCAAGGGTTAAAGGTTGACCAGAGGAACTTAGTGGAAGACGAAGGAGGAAGGGGGGGAGGGGGAACCGGGGAGGAAAGGATCATTTAGAGACATACGTGGAGAATGAAGATGTTGCTGAGGTACAGAAGTCAAGTGATCAGAGAGTTTCAAAAAAGAAGTAATTGGCAGTTTCTTGAAAGGGAAACAAAGATTTTGGCTTTCAAGCCACCATAAACCATGGCTTTAAACCCTGTAAAGTTCCCCAAAACTCAAAACTGCCACCATACCTAGAAAGATCCACTTAGAACCTTAGTGGGGATCACTGATGTGAGATAGCACCTAAAAAATTGGAACAGCATAGAATGTAGATATTATGTTTACTAAAACAAAAGGGAACTGCAGAACACATTGTGACAATGAAAAGAAAAAACAACAACACTTATACTGCTCTCAAAACTGCCCTCCCAACTATCTTTGAGGCTTGATAAATGGAGAACACTGTTTCCCTTTAATTAAGGGAAGTCACCCTTTTTCTGAGAAGATACTATAAGCTAGGCTCTATATATATGCCCTAATAATCCTCAGATCAGGGAACTAAGACTCAAAGAAATTCCTTTTAAAATATCTTGAAGTCACATAGCTCATTAATGATGAAACTTTGATTAAAATCCAAGTTAAAGAGTAAGGCAGAGCAAATGATAATTGAGGTAAATCTAAGATAAGGGATAATGAAATTATAAAGTAAACATCTTTATAAAACAAGAATTGAAACACAAGCAATAGGGTGACTGTAGGTCTCAATTTGCCCCCACAGAGTCCTGGTTGGTTCTTGTGGTTCTTAGAAGCCCTCGGTCCCTTTATTCCCCTCAGGTTTGGAGGGTAATTATGTGAGCACCATATATGGCAATGTTGTGACATGCGTATTAGAGATCCCAGGAATATGGTAATGAGAAGATGAAGAAAACAACTGAATTGCCACATTTTCCTACCACCGGGGTCTCAACAATTGCAGCTGTACCCTTTGCCGCCCTCAGGAATCATGTCAGCATTTCCATCCATTTTCTCCATTTTTAGGAACATAAAACTCAGCTATAAAATATGGCTCTTGCCCGGCCGGGTGTGGCTCAGCGGTTGAGCGTCGACCTAGGATCCAGGAGATTGAGGTTCGATTCCCGGTCAGGGCACATGATCCCTAGTGACTCGCTCATCATTGGTGTTTCTATCTCTCTCTCCCTCTCCTTTCCTCTCTCTGAAATCAATAAAAAGATATAAAAAATAAAACAATAATAAAAAAATTAAAAAATAATAATAAAATATGGTTCTTGCCAGCAAGCACTAAAAAGAGTATGATTCTATATATAAAATTGGGACTGAGGAATCGGAATGGAATGCTGTTGGAATCGTCATGGTTCTTGTTGCTGGGCGTGATTTCTTGCCCAAGAGATCTCTTCAATCAGAACCTACTCAAATCTCTGAGTGATTCTCCCGAGGCACAAGTTGCTTTCTCTTTTGACTTTATGTTGTATATTTAAGTAATACTTCTTCATTGAGTAAAATGTATGAATTAATTCTTTCCTTAATCTTCAAGATAATCCTATTTTCAACAGCATCACAGAAGGTTAGTGATGGAAGAGAGTTTGGAGATTATCTAGTGCCACCTTTGTTCAGTTTGCAAATAGGAATAAAAAAATTCAGAAAGCTTAAGTGATTTGGCCATGGTCATAGAGTTAATTAGTGGCAGAGTTAGGAATAAGATTCATGATCTCTTATGAAAAAACACAGAATAATGAAGTTACTATGGGTTGAAGAACTGTTAAATTGAATAATTCAGCACTAACAAAGGATTTTCATTAGTGACAAATGCGAGCCCACCACTCAGATTTCTGTTCCAATTTTCTGTCCGTCTACACGTGCAGCTCGATCTGGCAACTGTCACCCGAGTAGTCAACACTTATATTCTTCAATGCTTTTTGCCAAAACATCTTGGCCAACATCATGAACTCTATAGACCTGAATCTCACAAGAGATGAGAACCAGATATGAGAAATGCAAGTTGTACAAAGTTGTTCCTTTCATCCATCTTTGAGCCCCGAGTTAAAATTTTTTCCGCATCAGTCATGTTCTGAACCATATGACGATCATCAAGTTGGTGGTGTTTGTTTTCCACTTCTGTTGTCCTAATTAAGCATGCGATATGGCTTTGCTCCACCTTTCCTCTCTGTGTTCTGCTGCCCTGTTGAAAATGCCAATGAGAGCTTTAAATAGCATTGTTTTTCAGTATGTGTGTTCTCTATTAATTTAGAAGCCGGACCAAAGAAAATAATGTTACTTCCTATTGAAACTAGCTTTTTTTTTCTTATTAACCTTTGCAGTGTGAGGATTGCCAAAAAGATGCATAATTTACTGTAAGGCTTCAGTGAAGAAGGGTGA